TTTGTGGCTCAAGATGACTTTATGTCATCCATGAGGGATGCATTTGACATATGTTTCACATATTATAGCCCAACAAGTTACTTATAGCAGTTTAAATACGAGCAATCAGTTTTTGGCAAATACCGGAAATCAGTTTTTGGCAGACAATCACTTTTTGGCACAACACCGTCAGGAGACGTGATGCGAAGTCGTGCAGGATACAGCAGAGCGGGCTTCAGACCTTGTTTATACAGCTCGGACATCACTTCACGGTACTCCGGTCACTTGCTCAAAACTTCCGGGCAGTAGTCCTCCACCACGCGAATCTGCCGACCATGGTATTCTAGTTTCCCTCCTCGCTGGGCCTCTTGGATAAGAAGGTCCTTTACCTGGTACCGATGAAGGTGTATAATTACGGGGCGCGGTCTCTGTCCTGGGGCTGTCCTAGGTATCTACCTACCCACCTACCTACCCACCTACCTACCTACATACATTTTGAGGTCTAATTATTCAGAAAATATTTTTGAAAAAATGCAAATGAAATAATGGTCATGCTCTAATTTTAAAATATGTACACATCTAATGTTTAAAAAAAAATCAGCCGTGTTACAATAGTTTTTCACAGACCCATTGGAGAGAATTTGACATGGAAAATCATTCCAGGAAGTGTTTTCATCAAATCTGGTATGAGCACAGTTCTCTTTAGGAAATGCATTGTCAAGTTGACGAGATGCCCAGTACCTGGTGGGTCAGTAAACAACAGAATTGTTCATTTTAATTAGCTTTAAAACATGGAAACATTTTATGGGCCCAATGACAACTGATTTACTAGCATGTTTAACCCATTGTGAATTATAGATAACGATAACCCCCACCTCAAAACAAGGTAGTTTCTATGATTGTAATAATATCTAAATTCATCAATGAAGTTATTCTGCATGTTCAACGACTATTAAAAATATTTTAAATATGTTGGATGAACATGAAGAATTACTGCAGAGTCAGAGGCGTTCCATCTACCCATTTCCATGTTCCCTCTTGTTCCATGTCATTTAAACCAACCCAAGTCCGTTTCTGGGTGAATGAAGCAATGAAGATCTGCTCAACTAGCACACAAACATTCATGTTATGAATCACTTGACTCCCTTTTATTTCTGCCCCTTTGGCTACAGATTCTCATCACCCTCATGCCAAATAGTTTCATTGTAATGGGGGAATAACCTGTGTGTATAATGCATCTTCTTATAGTCTGTTATATTTTCCTTGCTATACCACCACACAGCTTTGTTCACTAGCTGTAAGGTTGTTGCCTCCTAAAAAAAAAGCATTCTCCTCAACCTTTACAAGTTGTTGCAACTTTGATGCACTTAAGCTGTTGGAAAATATTCTATAATGCTCGTAATAATCCCCACTTATACTCTGGGGTTTGACAGATTTTCACAATTAGATGAATGATTTTGATGATTTTTTCTCTTCACCTTAGAAGAAAAAAGTTTAACTATATTCTGTATTCACTCACAAAATGAATTTTGCAAGTTATACTTGGTGTCCAGAGTGACTGAATCATGGCTGTC